GATACTTTAGAACCGAGTAACAAGTAGCATCGTGCAGTAAATGTTTGTATCGGTACTTGTTCGGTCACTCACTGAGGGAACTCATGTGCATAAGACTTTTTAATCTGTGTTACTGTGACTAAAGCCAGTCTCATGAAAAAGTGTCACAGGCGCGGCGTCCCTGTCTTATAACGAAATATTAACCACTCCTAATTTTATGTAGTTAGAGATCTATCTAGAATTGACACACAAAAACCGTAAACAGAGTATATATGATATTTGCTCTAAAAACCTATTTTTTTTTAATATTCGTTACAAGTAGGTATTGATACTTTTCATTCGATACCTTGGTATCGTTTCATCCCTACTCTGTTCTTTAAGATAACTTGTTTTTAATCATTCAAAATTTTAAAATACGACATGTTCAATCTGAATTCGAAAATATTCTTAAAAATTCTTCCGGCAAGAACACGAATCAATGTTAATTTCAATATTATAAATTATCAATATTTTTTAGAATAATATGTAAAAGTAAAAACGTGATGTTTTAAATAAATCTACGTGAAACATTTTACCTACATAACTTAGACACTGGGTCGGTATAAATGTGTTTCTATTCGTGTTAATCCTAATTTTCGTAAATCCCATAACGAACCGTTTTTTGTGTTATTTTATTTGTAGTTACAGTTTTTCTTTTTAATATACTTGTCAATTCTATTCAGCCTTTTCATTTGACTACCATTCACTAGGATAGCCAGGACCCTGTTACATCATATTGTTCTTGCTTTAATATACTAACTTTGATTCAGTAGATGACAATTAAATAAAAAAAAAAAACAATAATGGTGACATATACGAATATAGATAACATCTCCAAGAGTTCTGATTAAATTGATATTCTCTTAATAGCTTGATTATTAAAGTTAAAGTTATTTTCACTTCATTCATCTCAAAGGTCCTCCCATAAGGTAATGGCTCAATTTGGAATTAGAGTAACGTATCTTATGAGCTGTATTATTTCTATTTTAATCTTTTCGATTCTGTCTTGATTATATGTAGAATTATTTATTGAAAAAGGTATTTCCAAATTGAATTATTTATTACGTAACCATATTGAAACTTATCCATTTTAACAAGCCTCCATAGCCGAGTGGTTCGCACGCCGGTTTCAAGGTGTCACCATCTCTGAGGTCCCGGGTTCGATTCCCGGTCGGGTCAATGTAGAAAATGAACTTTTCTATATTGTCTCGGGTCTGGGTGTTGTGTTATCTTCGTTGTCTCAGATACTCCATAATACGGGTGCTTTAGCTACACATCTTGGAATCTGAGCAATGTGTGTGATGTTGTTTAATATTTATTTATTTATATTTGATGAATTTTGCATTCACAATGCTATACTGGAAAAATAAATGGTGAAAAGTGGTTAGAGCAGTGATTTTGCGAAAGCTCATGGGTTCGAGTCTCGTCTCAGAGTGCCAGGGATAAAGTGGACTTTTGAAGCATTTTTCATTAAGAAGTCTCATTAAATTTAAATCAAGGTAAAACTCTCTTTATTATAATGAGCATAATTAAAACTCGGATGGTCCATTTAATTTTTCTTCCATGCAGAAAATCGTCTTCGAATCTGCTATATTTTAAGTTTTGAATATCAGCTATTAATGTTACTCTTTGTTTCTAGTCTTCAAATATTAGTTTTTTAGATAGAGAGATAAAGTTTTATTTTACATAAAGACTTAGATTAGATTTTAATACGATATTATGTAGGCAATTTACTCTATTGAATGTTAATAAAAATTAGAGAGAGAATAAAGATACTAGTATAGAAGGTCCACTCTTTTTTCTCAAAAACTAAAATGCGTCTTTTTTAGGAACGCTATTTATGACTTCAAAGAAGAGTATTTTTTTATGATTCATAATGCAGTTGTAGTAGCCTAACACTATCTCTGATATACATATAGATAACCATTGAAGGATTTGATAAAAAATAAATAAAATATGTTTCGAAATTGTCTGAAATTTCATTCATTGACAAACAGTACGCCCTTAGTACTTATTGCACAACAATAGATTTCACCGCACTCTAGAAAGGGCTTACTGAGCTGACATTTCCCGAAGTACCGTACATCTTACCTAACTGCTTACAGAAACTATCAGAATTAGCGGTACCATAGATTATACTGGCATAACCACTTTTCATAACACCGCTAGTTACTTGAAAGTCAAAAGTTCAATTGCACGTTAAGCAAGGAAATAACTATGAAAATAATTTAACTTGATAACTTAGGAGTTTCATTATTACAGTGTAACGGTGCTGTATTCTCGACACCGTCCCCTTTAGTAACATATTTCATATTTAACCTTATTTTATTTCCTTCAATCGAATGTCGAAAAATTTTGTATGTATATCATTTAAGTTTTATTAGACTATAATAAATCCTTTTTTATGTTCGTTTGAAAGTGTCGAATAGGTATTAAAAAAAATATAGTATTATATCACTGAAACTATTAATGTATTTTAAGCACTATTATTACTAAAGTTAAAGTATTACTACTTGAGAATTCTAAAATCTTTTCTTCATATAAATTTCATTTACATATAACATTCCTCCGTTTATGCAATTTATATAAAAACAACTCCAAACTTTTACTTTTTTTTATTTCTAAGTGTGGTTAAGTCTTGTTATTATAATATTTTTATTGTTATTTCGTCGTTAGATCTAAACCGGAAATGTTTCATGAAAGTTTTATAAAGTTACGTTTTTATTACATTAAAATAGTTTAACAGTTAAGTCCCTCTCAAAGTAATTCAAAAACGTATTTATGAAGAACGAACAACTGACTCGCTAATTCATTTTTTATTTTATTTTACACGTATAAATAACATGTATCTTTGCTATTCTGTAAAAATTTTAATCAAACACAACTTACTTCAACAGATAATAAAAAAATATATATTTAATTGATCCTGTAAGCACTGTTTTAGAAGTCGAGGTTGAGCCTGATTATATTACAGTACAAAATAAGCTATATAACGTCAATCAACAAAAATTATATAACAAAATGTCAAGGTTTTACCCAAAACAAGCCGACATTTAATGAAACTATAGTCCAACATATGCAAGTAATAAAAAAACAAAGGAGTAATTATACGTATGGTTATTTTTACTACGTATTTGGCGGTAGTTATCAAAATTGCGTGCAAAGTGTAGAATTGTTCTAGAACTAATTTTGGATGATTTTATATAATTTTTTTTGCTTTATAAATCAAAATCAAGACATCGTTTTGCATGCCAAAGAAAAACACAACAATATTAAATTAATACTTGACAAACATATCCTTCCAATACCTGGCGATAGCAAACATACTGGCATATTGACAAATTCCCATGTCAAATCCTAACTTTGTTTATTGATATTGGAAATGGTAGTGAAATGAAATGAAAATATCTTTATTCAAGTAGGCTATTACAAGCACTTTTGAATCGTCAAAAAAAATTTTTTTTCCCCTACCACTTGTTCAGGACGTCTTTTAGCTGACAAGAAGAACAAGCGAAATAAACTTACCAGCTTATGATAAAAAAGTAATGACATTTACATAAATCATGTCATTACCAAAATAATATGTATTATCACAATAATAAATACAACTTTCAAAGTCTGTAGGACATAGGTTGAACATATAATTAGTCTTTATAGAACAAAGCGAAGGCTATCAATTCCATGCATTGCGATCCTTAAAATTATCATAAACTTTATAATAGCCTTTACTCATAAGTATATTCTTTACATGAATTTGAAATTTATTTATGGGTAGGTCAATTACTAATTTTGTACACAAACAAAAGATAAACTAAATTTGGTTTTAGTTCTGTTAAACTGCTATTACAATTATTTAAACAGTACCAATAGTACAAAGTTGTACGTTTCTAACTTTATTTATTTGTTTGTTTGTTAGGGGTATCTCCGGAAATACTTATCCTATCCATTTCATTGAAGCTATATGACATCAAAATAATATATGGTGTTAAAATAATCAATAAGTAGTTTCTAAAACAAAAAGGCTAGAGTAAACTTTTAGTTACGACAAGGTTAAACAGCAAAATTTACGCCTATTATAAATAAGATTTAATGCAATGTTACTTTCATGTTACTAATTGAATGAAATAGTGACACGTTAGCTGCTTTTTCTCTATAATATATTTTTGGTATTCATTCGTCCAGCAACCTTTTAAATGTTACGTGGTACAATAATCACAGTTTCTTATAAATTAATGCTGAAGACCAAACCATATATTATAATGACTATAAAATTGCATATACAGAATGATATTATAATAAAGGATCTAACATTACAAACATGCTCCCATTTTCCAATGATCGTTCGCGTCACACGCTCGCAAACGATTTCTATTCGCCGACTACTTTCACCGGGTGAAACTGTGCGTTTTTGTCCATTGTGCGCCGGCGCACGGCGGGCGTTTGCGGAGCGATTTTCGAATTTCGAATGTGCGAAATGACGGTTACTGGGGCGGAATGTTTCATCATTGTCTTACGATTTAAATTTCATAATTTTTTGAATATTTTTTAAATATAATAATATTTTATTAATCAAAATAATAAAGCATTTTCTTAAAATCTTTGTTTGACAACTATCGAGGCCGAGTAGCTCACATGCCAAATCTGTTGTCTCAGGTTTGATTTCCGGTCGTATCAACATAGAAAATATTTTTTCCCTGTTGTTTCGTGAGTAGTTAAAGTACCTTCATTATTCATTTTTTATAAATACAAGAATTTTTAACTACTTGAATTACAGTCCGAATACCTAATGAATGCGATTTTGTGTAAAATTTATATTTTATTGTAGTAGGTTTATATAATTTTTAATAAAAAAATACTTTATAAAAATACTTCCTGAAATATAGTATAGCACGTAATATTCATAAGTTTTATGGTTATAATATAACATACGTCAGGTATTTTATTTTAAGGGAAATATTTTTAGTTTTACAATTAGTACTTACCATTTTTTAATCTCCACGTAAATTTGACACCAAGGATATTACAAATCCGCACCACAACACACAGTCAGCACACGAAAAGAAAGTTCACAGAAAATAATAGAAACACGAAAAATATTCACAAAAAGAAACCACAATCTTACGATATAAACTATACAGTCGATAAAATTTATATTTTCGAAATGAAAAAAGGTGTATTCGATGACGGCGGTCCTGTCGTCTGCCCAGGTAGAAAGACAGTCGTGGACTGGATACCGCACCGAAAGTTTCGCCTGTCGTTAACGATTCAAAAGGCGCGCGCGCAAGTTACGCCGACCTAACTGTCTTGGCACTTACATATGAATTTTGATTGTGTCAAAATCGAAAGTGAGTTTTATTGTTTGACGAATCGTATACACAATGATTTAATGATGGATATAATTGAATGACTCTGCTTTTTTCGGGGATTGTAATAACTATATCAGTTATTATATTGTTTATTACTGATGAAGATCGATGAAAGTTTCATTTGAGAATGCTATTACAATTTTATCATTTGAGACATTAATAATTATATCATTGGTATTCGATCATTGGTCTTTGATAAAGGCGTATATTTAATTAAAATATTACAAGGTTTAAAGTGTTTTTATTTTCTGATTTTATCAGAATAAACCTATGTATCCATCAATGTGTTGAACAATGAAACGAACTCAACTATGAACTTAACACAAAAAATCTAATGGTTCTTATTTCACAATTATTAAAGTATCAAAATAGTTTATCCGATTCCCACATTTAGTGAAGTAAAAATCTTATGCATGATTCCTTTCACCCCCTATGCGTTTATAAATGCGTTTGAATAAGACAGAATTACATTTGTTTGTGTTATTTTAAGGCTACAAACACTAATTACTTTACTTCCTTCTAAAATATTATCTAATTAAATGGGCCAAATTCTTTTCCTTTCAAGTTAATTACATTATTTGCTTACTTGTTTGACCTTGAAATGATGAAGTCTATTTTACTATTAAATTAATCTTGAATAAAGATCTTTACGTAAGTATGTAATTAGAAATACATAAAGAAATATTTTTTTAGTTAAACTAAGTCCTTCTTCCATGCAATCTTTTGAAGCAAAATAGACCTTATAATGTATCTCATCAAAACGTTTTGCACAAATTAGAAAATCTACTTTATGATTTGTTTGAACAAACTGGAATTTTGTTACTAATTAAGCTGACAATTTACTACCTTGTCACTATTTGAGCTGAGAAAGTTCATTTCATTGTTTTTCAATTAAAGAGCTTTGTAACATTGTACATATAAATAATAATCAATGTCAGTATTCGTTTTATACCAGATTTAAGAGTTTTATTGCAAAAAAGGTTATCTCGTTATAGACTCCGAAAAAAACCCTTTTTATTTTACGCCAAATGACTGATGGCACAAAGCCCTTTGCATAAAATTTGCTGCCATAGCGATTTTTCAAATTGTTCTTTTAATTATGTTTACTGTTTGGTAGGTGAGCGGAACTTTTTAAAATATTGTTAGCTTCATGCAGTCATTGTTTACCAACATAATGAATAAATGTTTAGGTCGCACGTGAAGCTTTGTCAATTACCGAGGCATGTTTTGAGAGAAGATTAGATTGTTTCTTATTGTATAAACATTGTACTATATCACTTAGTGTAATCAAAATCTGAGTAACGTAATACTACCGTACAGGTTCAGACATCGCTGTTACAGCGTAGGTTTAATCAAATAAAACCTACTTCAAAGGAAATAAACGTTTATTCACTGAACTTCTATTTTGTGACAATCCTGTGCTTCTTCTTCTTCTTTTTAATTAATGGCGTTGCCCTTGTGAATTTCGCTAGAATCCAGTGTTTCGCTCAGATTACTTCATATTTTAGTATTTTATAAACTCTGCTTAAAGGTAACTTTTGTACTTGGCGTTAAGTTGCAACTGATTTTATTGCAAAATAGCATGGATGACATATAACCTGTGCTCTATGACGAAAAATCATTACTGTCGAATGTGAATCGATTTCCGATCGAGTTCAATTTACTTTTTTTTTCTGGAAAAGTTAGTTTTGAGTGTCGCTGTAATACTATGACGTAGATTAATACTCCATGTTTTCGTGATTATGATACTGATTGCTCACGTTATCAATACCTTGAAGTACAATCTACTCAAGCCCAGGGGCTGAAAAAAACAGGAAAATTAGTCACATATATTGCCCAAGGTGCAACAAAACGTAGAATTTCTGCAATATATTTTAATTGAAATTCAAAATCAATAAACGGATAATGTCATCTGACCGTATGCCGTTGACTGGACACAAAATTAGACAGATTACTAAAGATTACCAATTAAAGGCCCTACGTTCCATTCCCGGCAAAGTCAGAAATCAAAACGAAAATCCGTCAAATTTTATGCAGCTCCGCTTCTAGTACAACCACGAAACGTGCAAAATAAAAGCGGGACCCTAGTTCAAGCCAGAATAAGGCTGCTGCATTAAGGATTACAATCATAATAATAATTTCATTTATTTCGTCTACGATGTTGTTTATTATAGGTTCACAAGGTGTTTGTACTTAAAATTACTTTGTGGCAGACTGCTGCGTAAGATAAAGTTCACCACCTCTTAAAAATACAGAATGTAATGAATATTATGTGTGCATACATATGCTTTTAATCGTCTTACTGCAATCGCTTAACTTTTAAATAATTCGTGTCTTTCAACGGTTGATGTAATAGTTCGTTCGATCACGATAAGATTCAAAGTAAGGTTTTTGGGCCAATGACCACAGTAACATTAAATTTTACTTCTTTCATTATTGGATTTAGAACGGTCAGTTTGACCTTGCGTTTGTTCGACATTTTGTAACAATTTTAATAGCTCCATCGGTCAGTTTACAGATGTCACGATCAAAATGACCGTTATCACGTTTTTGTTTATCAATCAGCTTCCCATTCGCGTCTTCACCTTAGTGTTCAAACTCTATAAGGGCCCGCTTTTTCAAAATAATTTCTTAGCAAATCTCTACATTTATAATTATAAATAGAAGCTCAATAATGCAGTAGTTAGCTCTATTACAACCAAAATAATACAATAGTTTCGACGTTAAAACGTAAAGCACGAATTCGCAGAATAACTAAAAATTATTATCTCGAGTTTTATCATTGGTACTGGCTGCATCTGCATTAACACCCACCAATCGACAATAGGTCATGGCCCATTATCACTATTCCATTCCATCCACAGGAACGGCCTGTACTCGAACAGTAGAAACATAAATAATCTGATGATGATGATGATGATGATGATAAGCAACTATTATTATGCCAAATTTAAGCTCGAACCCTTCAGTAATTTGATCTGTTTATCAATAGATCGATAATTTATCTATTCGTGAAATAAAGGTACACATGGCTCCACATCTCCACATCCGAGGTGTTGCCATCTCTGAGGTCCCGGGTTCGATTCCCGGTCGGGTCAAAGTAGAAAATGAACTATTCTATACTGTATCCGGTCTGCGTGTTGTGGAAGCTTCGTTGTCTCAGATACTCCATGATCCGGTTGATTTAGCTTCTCATCTTGGAATCTGGGCAATGTATGTGATGTTCTTTAATGTTTATTTATATTTATTATCATATAAATTTATCAATAAGACACAAAGTTATTTTAAGTATAGTAACCACTTCTGCTTCTGTATTGATAATGGATTGTATTGCTATAATAACAATGATATTAGGTTCTTGCATTTAACTGTCGCTTGACGCACCTGTTGCAAATAAATCAACTTTCTCTCCTAAAAGTCATTATATCATTACGAGACTTATATACTATATTGCCATTTTTTTAATGGAACTAATTAAGTACAATCAAGTATATAAAGAACTTGATATGAGTGAAATGCATATGGCTGACAGCTGATAATGTCTAAATTGTCTCTTTTTAGCTATTTATGAGCATCTTTCTTATAAATAATAAGTTATGCTTCACCTCTTACTAACAGGTCATTTTTCTTTAATTTTTATATATAAAACATATATTATTGCGTCACTTTCTTACATTCTAGAATTATTGCTAAAAACTTTTTTTGAGCATTAAGTTGTGAGTGTCAGTTGGGGGTGAACTTCGGCTACCAACTGAGTCGCAGGTGGCAAATAGCGATATGTATTTAGGATAGCTGAAAATATTGGGAAATTTTAATATAAGCAGGCCCGGGCCGAGATGGTAGAGTTACCAGGATGGGGACGGGGTATCTGGAGGCACAGACACTTCCAAGAAGAACCTACTTATAACCTATGACGATATTAGACGAAGGGAGGGAAATGGCAGAAATAAGACTACACCTGCAAGCGACCACAGTACCCGAGGCACCAATTGTGGTACTGCGATTACCAAACCGCCATGGTTAGAGTGGTGGCTTATCGCAGAAAGTGACTTCATAAGTTTTAGTTTACAAACGACTATTACAGATACCAAACCAAGTTTACCTAATATGGTACCGGTGATATTTTTTTCGCTTCTTTGACATATTGAATGGTCTGCTGATATGAGTTGCAGATCGTATTTTATTTATCTATAGCGAGTGTGTCGCTGTTAATCTCAGATGATCAATTCAACCTAGTCTTAGTAAAGATGGATGGCGAAACTCTAATAGTTCGTGATAATATGAAAGTATACAATAATGTGGTAACTGCACATAAGTCGGGAAAGATGTCAAGCGTTATTGTTTCACTCTTAGTTCGGTGTGGCATATTGTATAATGTGTTGCATCTGGATTGCAAAAAATTAAGCTTCATTTATTTGGTGTCGTGCAATTATATATTGCAACGAGAGTAATATACTGGCCACTCATTGCGCAATTTGTTTTTGAGTCGTCTGTTTTATAAGTAATATTATTTCATACGGTTTGGAACTATTTTTAACAAATTTGTATGACTATAATAATTATAATACGCATCACCATAATTGCTGACCACACCACACCAGAACATACATTTCTGAATATTAAATGCTTTAAGATATTTTTAGGATCCCAGACACATCACATGAAAGTCTATTTGTCTGTCTAACACAGCTGAATTGGCTACTTATCTCTTAAAGTACAAAGTTTATAGCAATTTCAAGGTGTCGCCATCTATATGTATAGTCTCGGCTCTTGGTGTTCTGGCACATTCGTTATCTCAGATACCCCATAATAGAAGGACTTTAGCTAGTCATCTTGTAATCTGAATAATATATGTGATTTTGTTTAATATTCATTAATTACCTGCTATGCCCGCGACTTCATGCGCGTGGAATGTAGCCTAAGTTATTCCTTATTGAATATGCTATATGCCAGTGAAACTCCCGTCAAAATCGGTCTAGCCGTTTCAGAGATAGACAGACAAAAAATTTAAAAAATGATATTTTGGTATGTGTTCCGTGTATACATACATATGCGTTTAGTAGAAAGTGGTTATTTTAACATTACAGACAGATACCTCAATTTTAATTATTCGTATAGATAGATATATTTTGATTTAATAATTTACGATTCGAAATTATTTATAAAACTATTACTTACTTCTAAAACTGACTTTTTATGAAGAAATCATCAGTTTGATTTCGAAATAGAAAGAAATAGAAATAGACCAATACCAATCTCCTAGACTTACAATCATCATATTAAGCACGAGCTTTACAAGTATTTCGCTACACAAGCTGTTTACTCCAGAAGACCAATACAACGTGACCTTTAAGATATACCGACAGATTACCATATAATAGGTCTATTTAACTGGCTGATCGGAATCAGACAACCAAAGTAAGCAGACCCTTTCTTTGTCTTACCACTTCCCCTTAAGTACAAGTTAATCTGCGAAACGCAAGGGGGTTGGGAGGTCAACATTGCTGGTCATGTATTACTACTTTCACTCGACTCAGTCCATTTTGCAACTGACCTTAATAATTGTAAAATTGCAATCGACGAATAGGGACAATTATTCTACATGCAACAAAAACATTTAACACTAGCTCTTTTCTCGCGACTTCCCGTGTATGATACAGCTCCCGGTACAACAAAAAAAATTAAAAAAATTGGTTCAGTAGTTTGGGAGGTCTGGGATCTTATTCAATGCAAATGAATAAACAATCAATTGTTTGCTCTTGATAATATTATTATAAAAAAACTCCTACAAATATAACTGGTGTTTAGCTATTCATCTTGGAATCTATATATACAAAAACTAATTACTGTTCCTTTGTCTTGCTAAAACTCGAGAATGGCTGGGACGATTTAGTTGATTTTGGTTTTGTAATGGTGGTCGTTGAGAAGGTTTAAATGATTAGACATAGCGTACAGGGTCAACTAGTTTACTTCTAAAAAATATTTGCGAAAAAAATCCATTACCCATAATTGTTCTGGTCTAAAAATATATGACATTAATGAAAACTCAGATCAAGTCTAATTCAATCTTTACCAAACCAAGTTTTCTGTAATTCTAATTAATGTATATAGAAAATTCTTTTAATACAAGAACATAATTCTTGCGAATGACGAGGTTTGTATTTTTTAACGTCAACAAATGCGTTAGGTATTATCCCTATTACTTAGCAAGCAACAGGTGGTGTGTGGGACTCACCTACGTGCTCATCCGACAATGAGCTGCCCAGTGGGTCTCCTACCCACCTAACATACCTAGGTAGCTAGTCTATAGGTAAGTGACTGTCCTAAATTACCCTCTACTTAATTAACATGATCGATTATAATAATGTGAAAGCATTCGTACCTACATCAAAATCAATACAATATTATTATATGACATTTCGTCCCCTCACATACAGTGCTATTAATAAACGACGTTTAGAGTCAGAGTTTTACACTAAAATTGCAATTTTAGTATTAGTCTTAATTCTAACTAATTCTAAGTGCAGTCTCAGCGTGAATTTAACATAATCACGAAATAGTATTGTTTGCGGATGACACTTCATTTTTGTTTAAAATTAATGACGATGTGAACAATTCTATCGCTAAAGTAGTACATTGATTTAATGTAAATAATCTTCTCCCTAATGAAGGTAAAACAAAAGGCCTAAAATTTGTACTACCTTATATTAAAAAAGTAGATATCAATGTTAATATAAAAGATAAGAACATGGGCCTTGTGGATACCACGGTATTTTTAGGAATAACATTAGACTCTAAACTACAGTGGGGCCCACATATTGATAAATTGTCGAGTAGACTTAGCTCTGCAGTATATGCCGTAATATACTTACGTATCTTAGGTTAACTGACATAGATACTGCCAGAGCAATTAGATCAATTTATATTCTTAGGTTTAGGGACTCTTTAAGAGAGAAATGTAAGGAAATTGACATAATGACCGTTGCTTCTCAATACATATACGAGAACTTAATGAACGTTCGTATAAATATTAGTTTGTTTTCTGCAAAAAAGTGATGTACACAATCTTAATACAAGAAATAAAAATAAATTAATGGTGCCTGTCACTAGACTGCAAAAAGTTAATAACTCATTCAAAGGTCTTTGTGTGCGCTTCTACAATGAGGTCCCGAGCAAAATACAACAATTAGATATCATGCAGTTTAAATCTACTATTAAAAAAAGACATCAAAAAAGCTTATTATAAGGCATCCGATTATATAACTCTTATGCTTGGACTTAACTTCTCTTTTAGAATCTGCACAGAATCTTCGAGAATTAAAAGAGTTTCGTTATACAATGATCGTTAGTAAGAATTTGCATTACAAGTAGACAAAAGGTTTGCAGCTTTGTACTTGAAATTGCATCTTGATTCGCGCTTAAATCGCCCTCTCTTGGTAAGATTTATATCAACGATCTACCCTCCATCCTTGCTAAAAGCACATTATAAGATGTATAAACAACAACTAGAAATAAATATGTCGGAATTGATTAAGTCTAATGTCAGGGTGGACAATTAACAGCTGACTGCCCACTTGTTTCATAGATAATCATAATAAACGCCCATCAAACATCAAATTCTGATTTCATTCAGTGCATCCAAGGCTGCTACATTTAAATATTAATCTTCATTTAACCGACATTTACAAGTTCACCTTGAATAATTTTAACACAGACGCTTATAAATAACTTTTAAATATCTATAATCCGTGGTATGAAGAGTCTTTATAGCTAAACGCAAAAGAATTCCCGTCTAAAAACAAATGAAAAGTAAAAAATATCTATAAAAATATATAAAATTAAAAATAAATGAAAATAGACTTAAATGGAGATGTCAACAAAGAAAAACCTTTTTGAAGTCCATTTTATGAAACAAAAAGTATTTTAATCTACTATTCTAGAGTATTCTAGAGTCGTCTAAAATAGTTAATAATTGCATTCTTCAAACTATGGAATGTAAAGTACCAACAAAAAAATTGTCTCTTAATTTTATAAAAAAATTGTGTGCAATTCATTAAAGCAAAACGCCATTGTAAGTAGTGTTGCGTTTTACTAGCTATCCGAATATTAATTGA